ATAAAAGTCGTATTATTCATGGGATGACCAAATATTACAATTCGCAGTTTGCTGGCTTGACGTACACTGCGGGGGGGGGGGGAAGGACAGTTCTATTATCTCCCATTCTACTAGGCCGATTGACGAAATTCAACTGGCGTTTTTCATGTCTCGAAAGCGCGACTTGGGATATGTATTAGATTTATGTATAGCATTCTTTTAATATGGTTATTTTGACACAAAATCAAAGTTTTTCCGAAATGGCATGCAAATTCTTTTCCATATTTCGATTTTACGACTCAAATTATGCCAATCTGCCAAGTTTTGTAACAATCTCAGAAGTACTTTTTTAAAAATTAGCTCTTAAAATTTTAGTTCCTTAATGTTAATTGAATTTGATATATATTTATTAATCTCTCTTTTTTTATTAAAATTACTTGATTCCTTCTTCCAGAATTCGAAATTTATGCTCAATCTAAATATAATTGGCACATTTTTTATTATTTATTTTAAAAATTTGCATTTTTAAATATTTTTATAATTTTTTTCGAAAAGTTTTTTATATTATAACCTATAAAATTTTTAACATCATCTTAAAATAGATTTATTTTTAAGCACATCTGCAAAAAATTAGAGTTTTTTATTTAAAATTTCTTAAGATATACGTGAATTTAGATTGGCGCGTTTTAGAATGTGGCGGATTTAATATAAGCGATAATACCGAAAATGTGGTTTACGCACTTTGTTAGGATGAACGATCGATCCTTTTTCTCTCGTGCATCCATGAACAGAAAAAAAAAAAAAAAAATGCAAGTTACTGTAAATTAAGAATTCTGCTAAGTGAATTAATTATTCTTAGAGCAAGCTGAAAAAAATGGACGAATATAAATTTTTAAATTTACCATAAATTTCTCACCAAAAATTACAAAATATCTAGGCATAATTTGAGTCATAGAATCGAAATATGGAAAAAAAAATTGATCAATCGGCCCAGTAGAACGGGAGATACAGAAATGACCCGCATTTTTTTTTTTTTTTTTTCGCAGTGTACATATAGAGATGATTAGTGTCACACGATGCTTTAAAGAGGTACTCGCTATACCCAGCTTCGGTTTCAGCATTTTCCCTGTCATAGGTAATTAACACAGTTGGCGTCCTATATAAATTAAATACATTAATAATTCAAAGCAGATTAGATATCTGCTTAGTTATCGCTATAAGGTCGCTCTTAGCTCGCGCATTAGACGGTATGTTTTTAGACTGTTCTTGAAACTGGACCTGCAGTTAGCCTCAGAATTGGACAAGACGAATTCATTACATTATGAGAAAATACCATAGAGCAGTGTTTTCTCATGACCTAATGAATAATGGAAAATAGACAAATTCTCATAATCTAATGAATCTAATGCAAAATGTGCTCCTCGGAGCCCTTAAAGGCTCCTCGTTCACTTCTCCGAAAGCTCCGCTGGCTCTCAAACAAGATAAATAAATAAAAATTGAATTACATTAGAACTGTATTGTAATTAGTAAAATTAAATTAGAATTGTCTTTTATAATGAATATTAAAAATTTTGAACAACAAGTAATAAATGAATATCAATACTAGAGCTAAAACTTGTAAGGATTGTAAAACTTGTGTAGGATGCATCCAGACGACTTAGAATCAGATACCAGTTCAGTGTCGAAAATTTTATGTGCATGTGGTAAGATGTACAGAGAGTACCAGAAATGAAAGGCTACCACGTAAGCGGATTTACGTTTTAATAATAAATGCACATTTATGCCATTTCCTATTAGGTGGTTTGAGAGTGTTTGGGTTATTGTAACCACTACTCTGTAGATTCTAATTACTAGGTGCCACTGATTTTCTTTCAGTTATGGATAGAAGTGCTATTTTTAGAATCATCGAGACAAGAACTCAGTAACCTTTAACTTCAAACTTTAATGAGTCTCTACTTAACAGAAAAAAAAAAAAAAAAAAATACAGATAACAGTCCATTTGACTAGGCTAAAATTCACACTTCAGTTTTATTCTAAGATGAATCACAATTCTAATTTAAACTTGCTAAGCTTTTATCCGTAGCTTACTGTTTTGGACAGGACTTCTCCATGATCATCTACTCTGGCATGGTTTACAACGCGCATATCATACTAGAGCTAAAACTTGTAGGATTGTAAAACTGTGGATGCATCCAGGACTTAGAATCAGATACCAGTTCAGTGTCGTTTTCATGTCAGTGTACAGAGAGTACCAGAAATGAAAGGCTACGTAAAGCGGATTTACGTTTTAATAATAAATGCACATTTGCCATTTCCTATTAGGTGGTTTGAGAGTGTTTGGGTTATTGTAACCACTACTCTGTAGATTCTAATTAGGTGCACTGATTTTCTTTCAGTTATGGATTTTAAAGCTATATCTACTTTAGAACATCAATAACCTTAACTTCAAACTTTAATGAAGTCTCTTACTTAACAGATAGGACCTATTGTAAAATTCTTCAGATATTAGAAAAACTTGACTTTTAAAATAACAGGCCAATCACTACTAACTATTTGCTAGCGGCTACGACATCTATACTGCCTTTTTTCAAACAAAACAGGCTTAGATGTCAGACAACTTCTCGGTTCCAGTTAACCTATTTATACCCCTACTTCGCCTGGAAAAAAAAAAAAAAAAACCCTACGTAACCATTTGGGGGGGGGGGGGAAACGAGCTACTTAACTAAATCAGAAGTGATAGAAAAGATGCAAATTAATTAAAAAGCCAACTTGTTAGTTAAAATATAAACTAAATTATCACAGACTGACAAGAATAACGAAGGACAAAAAAAGTGGTTTAAATGTTCTTCTTGAGCTGTAATGCAGACCTTACATCTTCGATCATAAAATTGCGTATATTCTAGAAGATTCTGGGAATCTAGGACTTTTCCAGAGCTACTACAATGCGTTCGTTCTGTTCCTCAGCGCTATTAACGAGATTGTTATACTATACACCAGTTTTTCGCAATGCCCTAGAAGAATATCAAAGTATGATAGTATAGCTATAGAGCAGGCCAATGCATTGGATCACCGTGCTGGATCCATTGTTGGCCAAATGTAACCGTGTAAGTAATTATGAACGTTATGGCTGAAACGAGTGTGCCTCTCATGTTGTAACTGCAATGATAGTTACGTCGATACAGAAAGTTGTTCGTCATCCAAAAAATGAGACAATACGTGCTCCAGAAATATCACGTACCTCCACCGATCAGGCGAAAAGCAGCAGGTTAAATGCAAGGGCCGCCCAGACGGTATAGTGATTAGGGAAGCCTGCCTACGATACCAAAGGGCCCGAGTTCGAGTCCCGGAGAAGGCATGGACGTAAAATTGTCTATTCATAGGATGGTAGCGGTGGCCGCCTATTAGGTGCCTCCACAATAAAATGGCCACCACTTCTGGCCTTAGTAGTGGCCAATGCTGTTATAGGCAAGTGCCCGCTATTGAAAAAAAAAAAAAAATTAAATGCAATGTATCTTATTAATCTTAATTAAATGCAAGGGAAAGTAAAATTGATGAAAATCTGATATGATAATGAAAATGTAGATTATACTGAATAAAAATAAAAATAATCAAGGGAATACAATTTTCCAATAAACTAGCATTCAAAGGAGAAATTTAAGCCAATATTTATAAAACTTTCAGAATCTAGCGCTTCGATAGTGGGGAATTAGATGTAATTATGTAGAGATATTGACTTCATAAATGTTTATAGAATGGCAAATGCTATTTAAGCAAAGCAGGAAAAAAAATTTTATAAAGAGGCTATACGAGCATTCCTCAAAAATAGAAATGTTATATTACGATGATTTCTTCTCCGACACTGTATCTTGCTCTTCCATTTTCATGCAACACAGTACAGACCTAATTTTTTGTTGAACAAATTCACGTGTGAATATTGCTTATTTTGACACTCCTGAACGAAGTGTAAAATCCAAACGACAAATTCTGAACCTGAGTCGAGCGTTAAAAGTCACGCGCCTTACTTGTCACGTGATAATCGAAACGAATGAAATGTATTTCATATTTTCCAGGTTTATCATGGCATTTTAATGCCTAGAAAATGTGCGGAATGTCAATCGTTTTTATACGTTGCCTATGTATTCTATAGAATACTGGGTGTCGTACGTTGCAGGTTAACATTATAATAAAGCAAAATGATTGGAATTGCCTTCCCTTCTAGTGACAGATGTTGGTGTTGCTATGCACAAGTCATGAGAACTAAGTCAGGAATGGCCCATGTCCCATGTAAAACTGATTCAAAAAGCTTCGGATCAATTAAAAAAAAATTTGTTTTTCTTGCGTTTAAATGCATTTACTTTGTTTTTCCATGCTACGAAACAGATTTATAAGAATATTATGATATTCGACAGCTGTTGGGTAACGTTTCTTGATTTTATTTGCAGGACCGAAGTCAATTTGCAAGACAAATTTCTACGATGAGATTGAAACAGAGGTCTACGCTGCGAAAATATGAGAAACATCGTATGCTTATATGCCGAATTAAAAGTATAATATAATAAAATTTTGAAATTCAGTAAAAGTTTCCTGAAAGAAATATCTAAAAAAAGTGAGTATTTCACACTAAAATTTCATTATTTTAATTTTTTCTGCCTTTTAAAAATATGCTTGAGTCATCTAAGATAGCATATTAAGCATAAAAGACGCACTCATAACGCAAAACAGGAACATCGCGGTTTCGAACTAAAAGGAGTTACGCATATGAAGATATTTTCTATTATTAAATGCGATTTATTAAATAATAAATTGATAATCATTACCTAAAATATATATTTTTTTTTCAAATATGACTCTCAAAAAAATTTTTCATCCAATATTTAGAAATATATTCCAATATTTAGATATCCAATATTTAGTTATATTTTCCATATACGTAGAAAACCAAAAAACAACCAAAAAAAAAAAAAAAATAAAATAAAAAAATAAAACGGCGCAAGCAGAGAATATGCTTTTTATCGTAAAACGTCAAACATGTACGGGAGGGTGAGCAAGGGTAACAGAGTGGTCATTCGCTATTGGCTGTAAGTGAACATCACGTGACTCTTACCGCTTCGTTCACATAACGGGCCAGGGAAAGGCTCGAGTTTCGGAGCGTGGGCGGTATTAGAAAATTCTTGCCGGACACTGAGCCGGACTCTTGAATTCCAACATCCTGCGAAAATCCATACCATCAGAACTTCAATTGGGTAAGTGGAGCTGCTTATCATTTTGCTACTGACGTCTGCAGATATACGGGTGCGGGCAAAGTTCTTTTTTCTTCTTTGCTCAAGTCCTTAAACAGTGTTATTGTGCTGACGCCACAGTGCTTGAGCCAAAGGCGGAAGAAGGGCGCTTTTCAGGAGCGGAGACAAATGACACATGTTCGAAAGCATGCTAATTTTGCATCGTCTGTTCAATTCCGAATTGCTCTTTCTGTGCTACTTCTTTGTAGTATTCAGTCTGATTTAAGACTCGGTTATCGTCCTTGAATTGCACTGTAATCGAAAAAAAAAATAAAAAATAGGTTGCGAAAGATAACAATTAAATTTTAAGTCGAAACTAATCGATTTGGTTTAATATAACACATTTATCGAATATACTTGTTTTATTAATTACTTCCATAGAATTTGAATCTTGCGAGATCTGATCTTAATTCAAAAAAGTATTCGTATTTCCGTGCAAAATTGATTTCTATGTTGGCTAACTAGTGAATGTATAGATAAATTGTCTAACAGCCTGCTTAATTCGAATTAAACGTTGCAGACCTCTTGCAGTGAATGTATTTGATAATCACGAATGAATTTTGTCATAAATTAATACCTTGTTTCTTTAAAATATTCATATGTACTTTTAGTTGTCAGGAATGATAATTTTAAACCAAACTAAATTTCTAACCTACGCAATGGATTAATTCAATAATCTGGAATCGCTTTTATCATAAGTTAATGTCTTGTTTCTCCTTAAAACATTCAATGTACACAATTGTTACGAATGGCGATTTTAAACGAGACTAAAGTTCTATCATACACAATGTATTAACACTGTCCAAAATTTAAAATGCTTCGAATATAAATCTGTATTTTTACGAATTTATCTGTAGCACTGTGACTATTATTTATTACCAATAATAAAACGTTTTATTACTGAAATATGAGTGGTTATGTAATAAAACTCTCACTGTTTCAAATGATTTCATTTTCTTGGAGGTGGTTGATCATGTTCTAAAATAAGCTGGTCCTTTAAAAGGGGTCGCCTTGAGAGAGTTCATTGTATTTATATATATTTTATTATCAGTTGTAATATTTAGCCCAACATTTTCTTCCGAAATTATGTATTGCATGTCAATAATAATTTTAAATATTATTAAAATAGATTGCATAATTTTAGCCCAATAACATTTTTAACAGTCTTTGCTCTTAATAATCTATTCACTAGGTTTTAATGTATTTATAATAAGATATATGAGATATTTAAAAGTAAGATATACTCATTATAATAGATTATGAAATGTGTCAAAAATAAGAAAAAATTAAAAAATAAACTGCATATACATAAAAAATAATTAAAAAATAAAATGAGTGAATAGTGTGGAAACAATTTATGCAGTCACTTTAAGAAGCAAATACCGTACAGACTCTTTCCCGCCGGTGCGGTCAGGGCCGTCTTAAGGAATTCGGCGCCCATGGGCTACTAAAAATAATGCGCCCTTCTTCCTAAGAAAATACACAGAATGGCAAATGGGAGTCGGAAAAGTTATACAAAACAAAAGTGTCAGAACTAGAAAAAAACTATTATTACTTTTATAATAAACTGTTATCTTTATTGTAACTTTTTTTAAAGTCACTTATTTAAAAGATGGGTATAAATGTTTACCCAGATTGAGGGGATTATCTCAATAATGACAGTTCCGATCAGTTTTAGTCTAATCCTAGAACTTGATCGGAACTATTATATGATTCTCCATCACTGCATAACATAAACAAAAATAAAATTTAATTAAATAAAAAACCATTTAAGAACAAAAACACACCTTAATCTAAACAAATGTAACTTATATATTTACTTTCCTAGCTTTTTCTTTGGCAAACTAATCAATAATATCACTAGTATTTAAATTTTCAAATAAATCTCTTTCAATAGACAAAATACTTAAATCATTGAGTTTACTCTGTCCCAAAGAAGATCGTAAGTAATTTTTTATTCTTTTGATTGCTGAAAATGATCTTTCGCCACTGCAGTTTGTTGTGGCGATACTTAAAAATATGCGCAGTGCTGTGGTTACGTTTGGAAATGTAGATTCAATTTTTTAACTCGATTATTGTCTTTAAACTTAGTTCTGCGATAGATATATTTTCGGTATTTTCCAAATAAATTCACATGTTTAAAATGTAGGCATTCTTCAATAAAGTTGTTTTCTAAATCATTCTGATATATTTCGCACAACTTTGCAGCATTATTTCTAATTATGTCTTCATTTATATTTTTTAAATTAACTAGAAACCCAAATGTTGAATAAATGTCAACATATGCACATTTTCTCTTTTGTACTTCTGCTAGAATTTTATCAATAATAGCATAATATGTTTTTATGCGGAATTCGTCATTTGCATCAACTTGCACTTCTTCCGACGTATTTTCGTCGAACTGTCTTTTTCTTTTCCGTAACCGTTTGTATTCATAACAGCCAGATAATTTTATACCTTCTGATTTGTAAAGGTTAAACGAATCTATATTTCGTTTCGATTGTACAAATTTTTCTAAAGAAGCATATAATGAAACAATGCATTCAATTGTAATATCAACTTTTTGAAGCGATATATTAATTTTATCGATGGTTTCCAATATTTCACTCCAAAATGCTATCATAATAGCAGTTTCCAATGAGTTGAACTCATTTAACAACCCCTGGGCTTCAACTTTTGTTGCAGGCTTTTGAAAATTATCTTCGTAAAGTTTAGTTAAAGCATTTTTTAAATTTTTCATAGCCCGAAACCACTACTTTCACTGAATCAGCTCTTGCTGACCACGAGTGTCGCTTAATTTTTTGGGAACTTTATTTTTTGCTGTTAGCGTATTTTTTTAAAATTTCCCATCTTGATGTTGATGCGGCAAAGAAATTGTATAAGTTTGTAGAAACCAAAAACAATTTAGTTGCTTGTATGCAGCATTCAGCTGCCGATTGTCCAATTAAATTTAAAGAATGTGCCGCACAGGCACGTAAATGGCAAGATTATTTCTAGATTTAATGCGTGCTTGGAGGCCGTATATATACCCGACATATTAGAGGCATTATCATAAGATTGTCCTCTACAATCTTCCAAACTAATATCTAAATCAGATAATAGCTTTAAAATACAGTCTTGCATTTCTGAGCTCTTATGGCCAGTATTCTCCAAAAATTTTAAAAACCTTTCAACGGGTGTTCCATTTTTATTGACATATCTTACGACAATGGTTAATTGATCCATATGGGAAATATCGGGCATCGAATCTACTATAATAGAGTAATATTTTGCCTCTTTTAGTTCCGTAATAATAAAACATCTAACATTTCTGCCCAATATTTTTAGAAACTCATCACAAATATTTGCAGATAAATAAGAAATATTCCCAGTACCTTTATTTGCAAAATTAAATATATGTTGTTGCAAAATAGGGTCAAATTTTGCTAAAAGTTCTAAGCACCCTAAATAATTCCCATTATGTTTATCACCAATAGTTTGATTTTCTCCCCTAAAAGCCAAACCCCTTGAACTTAAAAATTTTATGACTTCGATGATACGTTCTAAAATATTTTTCCAGTAATTCGTATTTTTTTTCCATTGATATAATAGAATAATTTTTGAAATATTCCCATTTTTCTGTAGATCTGTTCACAATTATACGGGTGTTTTCTTTATGAAGGGCTGAATTTTCATGGTCCGAAATTTTTCACTGTGTTTCCAATCGTTAAAACCTGCACTAAAATGGATTATTGGCACTACCAAACAGTTTGCAAGGGATGCAATATACTTTTCCTGAAGTATTTGAGTATAAAAGCCAGTTTCTTTTTTGTTGTTTTCCGTTTTGTAAACGTCTATATAAAAATATCATTTTGTAGCATACCTGCTCTGTGATTTGTAGACCACTTTAGATGCAGAAAAGTCTAGTTTCTTGAATATCTACATCTACGTTAGATATGTTCTTCATTATATCTGTAATTTTATCTTCGCTTAATCTTCCCCATAATGCTGGATTCAGTATAATTAACACTCAACATATTACTAAGTTCATCTTCATCTAAATATTCTCTTTCTTGATCTTCTGGCTGTGGCTGTTCCATGTTTGTTGTTTCTGGTCCTCTTTTTTCTTTCACATTTGATTGCTGGGCATTATTGTCATACTGTTGTTGATTTTTCCTTTCCCCTCTTTGTGTTGTTCATCCTCTGTAATATCCATAGAAAGTGTTTCGCCTTTTTTAAAGAAATTTGTTAATGTAGGCATTTTTTCCAAGAGAGCTTTTTGCCTTAATTTACGGTTGGCGGAACCAGATAATTTTTTCGTTTATGTTCCATGGTTAGTCTTCCTACATAATGGAATAAAAAATTGTTATAAATTGTTAAATATGTATATATCATTATTAATTAATTTTTAGCTAACATATACACTAGTGGACCAAAAAAAAAAAAAAAAAAAAAAAAAAAAAACGCATAATAAAAAAAAAATGGCATTTAGCAAGATAATATTTATTAATTTTAAAGGTTAAAAAATCCATATTTTCCTCAATGATCGTTAACATTCCAGTGCAATTAGAGCTAAAACAACCCCAAACCATAATATGCCCTCCGCCATGTTTAACAGTAGGCTTTAAATTTTTCAAATTATATCTTTCCCCTACCTTACGACGCACATATCTTCGTCCATCTGATCCAAACAAGTTTATCTTGGTCTCATCTGACCAGATTATGCTATTCCAAAGCTCTTGAGTGTAATAAACCCATTTCTTAGCATGCTCATATCTGCTTAAAACATTTTCAGGACAATATAACATTTAAATATGGTTTAGAACAGGCAAACTCTGCCAGGCAAACCCATAGAACACAATCCACGACGAATTGTTCTAGATGAAACACATTTTCTTTTTCTGTCATTTAATATATTTTTCAATTTATTTGATCCTAATTTAGGATCTTTTGAGATATTTTGCTTCAAAAAAGTTAAATCACCT